TTTTTGTTGGCAAGTAATATTTTCCATTCTTAGGTCTAATGAGATAGAGACGCTAAAATAAGGGAGTAATATGATATTTTCCTATATATATATATATATATAATCTACAATTCACAAACCTTCAAATTTGTAAAGGTTATTGTTAGAGTGAGTTATGATGGGTAGATATACTAACTATTTATCTTTTTTAAAATAAAAGTTATTTTTTATGATATCTTGCTCATCAAGTAAAGATATTTATGTAAATATCACTAAAAGACAAATGGATACCGTTTTCATTTCCATAAGGGTTAAAACTAAAAAAATTTACTAAAGAACAAGGGCACTCTATAAATAAAATTCTCGGACATTAACTTCCAAAATAATATTATATTTTTGTAAACATTTCTAATCAGGATTGTTTACCATTTATCTTCTGGAGGTCACAATCACTCTTATCACTTAATAGACATAAAGTTCCAAAAAAAAAAAATTTATTGGAATCCAATTTGATATACAATGAGTATGAATGATTGTGACTTCTATGTACAAAAAATGCTAATGATTAATTTATCTATTAAAATAAATTTTTTAAACAAAAGTAATGACTTTTTTAATAAATACATCCACTACAACTCATTTTACCATTAACTTTTGTATTTTGAGGGGTTGTTAACTCTAGACAAACCTATACTAATATATAAGAAAAATATATAATGAGTCAATTTACCTTTGTTATATGAAAATAGTTTATATAAGGTTGTAACCTCAAATGTAGAATTAAAGGTACACCTCAAAAATTCATCATAAAAGGTTATTTGGATGTCAGAAACCCTCTAATCAATCATTTCGACATCAAGATGTATGAATATGAAAAGAAAAATAGATTTCGAGTCTATGAAATAGTGTATCTTACAACACCTTATCTGGACCATCCATTTTCAAGATTTCCATATCTTGATAATTTACTTGATTTGAACCATTTGTAGAGTTTAAAATTTTATAATTAGAGTCGAGCTATTCTAAGAATTTTTTATATCATCAACTGTATAAAATTTATATACTTCCCCCTATGCAACCCGTTCATTCTGAATAGAGGTTGAGATGACCGCAATCCAATATTCGTAAAATCGAACCGCAATGGTTAACGTGACATGGGGCTAGGAACGGTTAGAACTCGAATCGGGCTAATTGGGTGGTTAACCAGACTGGTTTAGTCCAGTAGATTTGTTTTTAAAAAAATGAATAAAAAACCCCCCAATTTTTTTAAAAAAATTATAAAAACATAGATTAAGTGTATACTATCTTATTATCTACTTTTATCTTAAAAAAAAAAAATGAAACAACTTGTTGTTGAAAATCTGCAATGAAGCTCTGAAGTTGTTAAAAATCTGCAATTTAAGCTTCTCTAAAAACTCTTCTAAAACCAAAATCAAAATACACAGCATTCTTGAGACACAATAACCTTATAATCATCCACCAACAAAAAGCTAAAACCTAAACGATTTTTAATTTTTAACCAAAAAAGCTTTTCCACTAGTTATGAAACCCAAACAACCAGCATATCAATAAAAGAAGAAGAAAAAAATTCCATATAACTAACACATGAACATTGGTTTGTAAAAAAATTAATATCGTGTTTAGTTTCTAAAAAGCACTGGTTTCTAAATTGTTGAGATCCATTGAAACCAATACAAACTATAATTCTTCAAAATAGATTAAAATACTAACAACATAAGATTACACTAAAATCAACCAAATATGCTTATCAAAATGATAAAAGCTAATACACATATACCTCCAAGAATAGCTCGCAGTGAAACAAAAAAATACTCTCCAAGAATAAATATCTGAGGATAACCAAATTAATTAAAATATCACATATACAAACAATGCATTTTGAGTGCGTTATTTCAAATTTAAAAAGTACTTTCTTGCATAATTATTTTTTTAACAAAATAAAGTGGTAAACAAAATACTTAGAGCAACTCAAAAATCAAATTTAAAAAATACTGAATGAAAAATCACATGAAATTCATGCCTGTGACCTCAACTGTAAACGTCGATCACCAAATTGAGTAATAAATCGAGCGGTTGGCAGGTATTTTTCAGCTTAGTTCAGAAAACTGAGTCAATGCCCTAATCTTTCAAAATCGAGCACCATATCTTGAATTTTCAATGAAATTAGGACTTGAATCTTTTGATTAATCTATAAAAGCCCTGGATTTTGATTAATAAAACACCAAAAACGAATCAACAACCTGGAGTATGCGGATGTTTTCAACTTAGTCCTAAAAAACTGAGTCTTTACCCGAATCACTCCATATCGAACTTGAAATCTTGAATTTTCAATGGAATTGGGAAAGTAAAATATACTGACTAACTCTATTATCTACCAAATTCATGAATTTTGATTGATAAAAATCCAAAAAAGATGCCACATTATGTAGTATGGTGGATTTTTTGAAATCAGTTTTGAAAAATTGAGTAGATGCCCTAATCACTGTAAAACAATGTCCAAATCTTTGATTTTACATGAAATTGGGAGTAGAATACACTGAATAACTCTGTTATCAACAAAAGCCATAGAATTTTGTTGATAAAAAACCAAAAACGAGGCCACAATACACACCATGGCGGATTTTTTTTTCAAAACACGAAGAACACAAAAATAACAGCCCAAAAATATCATATTGCGGTGTGTTTCCGGTTGAAATCCTTCATTTTATACTATTATATCAATAATTTATTGAAATTCTTGAAAAGGCTAAAAAAGTACAAAAAATTGAATAACAAAGGAATCCAACAAAAACTCAAGTGTTCTGCATAATATCACCATTACTAATATAAAAAACGACATTACTCTAAATAACATGTGTTATTTCAACGTTTTAATGTTATTTGGGGGTTTTTCTAAAAACCGGTTCTTAGATAAAAAACGGCTCGGTTAGCTTAAAGAATGCCCGGTTTGTATAGATTTTGATCGGTTTAGGGGTGGAAAAAATTTGGGGTGTTACATATGCCTATTAAAACACCAAAACCACGATTAACCAGGACCGTGAAGGTCGTGGTTCCAATTTGAACCGGCCGTTTTTTCCAACACTGTCCCAATTACAATGTCATGTCTCTACAATATTTTATTTTTAATGTTTCTTTATAAAATATTTTGACACTAAATTTTATGCGTCCACTCCTCTCTTAAACTACATCTCTAAAAAAAAAAAAAACTCAATAAAAATAGAATGACCAAAACTACCCTTGAAATATTCAAAAGGAATTTTGGTATTATATTTAATTAAAATTTTTAATATTTTTTTAGATTCGCTCCAATAAAAAGATGATATGTACTAAATTTTATGTTCATACAACTTTTTTAAAAAATAAAAAATAAAATACTCTTAAGCGTTAGTCGGCTCACTTGATCCAAATTAGATCTCTTGATTGGTAGACAAGAAGTGTATTTAATCTTTTTATGCGTTAGGAGAAGAACAACCTCTCATTTTTTTTTTGGTGAAGATCATTCTTGGCAAAATCGCCCAATCTAACCGCTAACGGTCCGGTTAGATCGAAACCGGCCAGTGGCCGGTTTTGGTTTTGGGCGGTTAGGGTGATCAATAGGTATTTAAAAAAAAAAAAATCACAAAAATATATATAAATTCTCAAAAATAAAGAATTTGATTTGTAATACATTTTTAAATATTCTTTACATTATGGTAAAGATTAAAAATTGTTTTGATCATTAATTCTCAGTTTTATATATTTTTCTATTTTTTTAAATTTTTTTTTTAAAATAGCCCTTGAAAAAATATAAATTAGGTTAAAATCTATTTTTTTCATTAATTTTGTATTTTATTTGAATGTGTTTTGTTTTAATCATTCTTTACATGATTTTTATATTTTAATATATATATATTTTTTTATTTTTTTTTGAACACTTTTTTGACCATTTGAATCTTGTTTTAATCATTTTTTATATGTATTTTTATATTTTTATATTTTAATATATATATTTTTATTATTTTTTTTTTTTGAATACTTTTTGGACCGTCTTGAATTGACTGGTTTATCAATTAAGCCCCGGTTAATTGCAAACACTGGTGAAGATATATAGACCCCGAACGTAATGGACCCGTTGCAACCCCTGTACTCACAAGAGAAAAAAATCAATTGACCTTTCAAGCATTCAGCTAGGAAACCCTGCGAACTTCCTTTCAGAAAGAGAGGCTAGCAAAAAAGACTTAAAAGGATCTTTTTTCAGTAAAGAAGAGAATGGTTCATAGACGACCCTGAGAGATCCAGTCCCCTGCTTTTCGGAAGCAGACCACAAAACCCTAATCTCATATCATGGAGTTGGCTTTCACCTTCAACCCTGAGAACCTGGTCAGTCAACCACCCCTCGAAAGCTTCTGTAATGGCATCCAAACCCTGCAAGAACTTGCTAGACAGGGTTCATGGCGAACGATTTTAGATAAAATATCTCAGGCACGCAAGCTATCTCTTCTGCAGAAACCCCATGAGCATTTGGTCTATGTTTCTTACAGTGTATTAGCCCTAGTTAAGCTAAGGAGATACGGCGATGCTTCGGAACAATTAGAAACCCTAGATGACCTAGATAGCCCAAAGTATCGATACGAAACCTATCCGGATATTTACCCTGGTTTTAATGGTTCGATGGTGCCTTTTGGCCTTCGGTGGTTGCATGCTGAGATGCCCCATAGATTGGGCAAGAAACAGGAAGCTCTAGATCGCCTCTATATGTTGCTTGATTTCGTGAGGGAAAAGTTAAAAAATCGAAACTATTTTTCTGCAAATAACAGTCTTTCATCACAAATGTCTGAAATCCATGAAGCGAAAACGGAGCTCTCTGGCAATTCACATCGTGGTTCTTTGGAAACGAGTTCCACCCATGATGTGACAAGAGATGGGGTTTTGTTGGGTTCGGGTTCTATGGTGATGCAGACCTCTTTTGACACTCAAATTGATCGTCATTTAGTAGAAACTGAAAGTTCTTCACAGGAATTTATTGATCCATTGAGATCTGATACGGGATCAAACGTGGGTTTTTCTGGTGATTCTCCTGAATTGAGGTCCAATGAATCAGAAGAGGGGTTTGGTGATTTTTTTAGTGCTAATAATTTTGCTGGATCTGTGCGCCGTGATTCGAGGAAGAACGAGGTTCAGTTAAATGGTATGGGAGTTTGCCTATGTCTATGGAAGAGGAGGGAAGAATTTCTGATCAACTCAATCCTTAGTCACCATTTAAACCAAAAGGAGTTCAATGTGTGTGTTATGCTGATACAGGGTTTACTGCAACAGAGTCCCTCTGATCTCTTGCTTCTTTCAAAGCTTGGATACTTGCAAATGCAGCTTGGTGACTTGGGTGGTTCGGAAACGACTCTTTCTAAGGTGGATGCAATTCTGAAAGAAGATGAGATGGGGGTTTCACCGCGCCTTAGTAGGTATCGAAATTTAATTAATCATAACCGAGCTTTGCAGTTTGTTGTTGCCAAGGATTACACAGCAGCTGTGAGAGAGTATGAGGAGGCTATAGAGAGAGATGATTCGGATATGGTGGCTATTAATAACAAAGCCTTGTGCTTGATGTATTCGCGTGATCTCTCAGGTTCTATCAAAGTGTTGGAGAGCGCGCTTGAAAGGATACCCACTGTTGCTCTGAATGAGACCATTATAGTGAATCTATGTAGCATGTATGAATTGGCTTATGTAAACCATACGGAGATAAAGAGGACCCTCAACAACTGGATTGCCCGCATTGCCCCTGATGACTTTGATTCGTCATGTACTCGTATATAAGTTATAATTCTTTCTTTACAACCTGTTCTCGTTGGGTTGAAATGAATTTTCTCCATTGATGCTACTAGTTGATTCTTTGTAACAAGTTGGAATCCTTTAGATGCATTTGTAACCCTTTCGAGGCTTTACTTATTGTCATTTCTTTGATAATGCTGTGTTGTATGAATTTCTAACTCATCCATGCTAGCAATACATGAATGAGCCATCCAGCAGCTACTGTGAGGTAGAACTAATTGTTAAAATAAAAATTCACAAAAGTAGAATTTCCGTTATTTGAATTCAATTGGACTCAATGTCTGTTTAATCGTAATTTAAAAGTGGTGCGACACAAGTACTTCCAGGAGTCTGACTCAATGTTGCGGCCATATTGTTTTTGAACTTGGTGCCAATAAGGATGCCAAGTGGCATCTTGAGTCTAGACTTAAGACTAATGCCCTAGGATCCTCAAATACAAATTTTTACTGAGATTATTTTTATTTTTCTCCATAAGGTAACTCTGCTTTAGAAGACTTGATCTGAAATTGGATTAAAATCCATTCTTGTTATGGTTTCCCTGTTTTCAACCAAGAGAAATGTCATTCAAGCATTTTTGAGTTATCTTCTGGATTGCTTGAAATTTAACTCATGCAGTATTGATGTAAAGTCTCGAATTTGCCATGAGGAGAAGCTGCGTCTGCTACTACCTTGGAAAAGGTATTTTTGACTGCCTTTTGAACCTTGGTGATGCTTATAAGAACTATGCTTGGTTGGTACTGGTTGGTCACTTATTCCTAAAGGACTGTTTTTATTTTGAATATGTTGACTGTATTGAACTGAAAGTGAGTACAGAATGTGAGAGGAGGGGGGCAGGATACCCACAGAAGGGTTCCTCCCAGAAAATAGGCAACCCACAAACAGGTGCCCTGTACAAAACCAAGGGTATGTCAAAAAAGCTTTACATGAGTTGGTATATCAAAAAAGCTTTACATGAATTAAGCCATTATATCAATTCCAATCCTCCAAGGCCACGGGGCAGTGCCTGAGGCCCAGGCTATAACACTGTAGGTATCGCCTTCAATGGTTACATACTTCCCCTAGCTAGCCTCTAACTCCTTGAGGCCTTCCTGGAGGGCAGAGGCCTCCGCAATTGTTGAATAAGAGACACCAATGGGAATAGAAAAGTAGCATGAGGCCCAGGCTATAACACTGTAGGTATCGCCTTCAATGGTTACATACTTCCCCTAGCTAGCCTCTAACTCCTTGAGGCCTTCCTGGAGGGCAGAGGCCTCCGCAATTGTTGAATAAGAGACACCAATGGGAATAGAAAAGGAGCAAAAGGGTATTGCTGTGGTTGCAAAACAAGCCACCTATGCCTGCATGGCCTGGGTTTCCGAGAGAACACCCATCGAAGTTAAGCTGTGGCCCACTTCGGTGGTCTCCAAAGGGAAGAGCGTGATGGCCTCTGAGTTTTGAAGGAGAGAATGGGAGTCCAGATGTGGAGAAAGTCAGAGTGGCAAAGGTTTTTGAACTGTTTGTGGGGAGTGGCCCAGAAGATTATTGTTTCTCTGATCTTTTCTACTAGTGCATTCACCGGAAATGACTGGCTTTTGGCATTTCTCTCAGATTATTTAAAGGGTGGCAGCCACCGAGGCCTGCCACAGCAGGGTGCCGGCCTTAAGCCAGGGGGTTGAGAAGGTAGAACTGATGAGATGAGGGACATCACATGGAGTCACCCATTGCCAATGGAATAACTGAAGGATGTCAAAGGTTTTTGAACTATTTGTGGTGAGTGGCCCAGAAGATTATTGCTTCTCTGATCTTTTCTACTAGTGCATTCACCGGAAATGACTGGCTTTTGGCATTTCTCTCAGATTATTTGAAGGGTGGCAGCCACCGAGGGCTGCCACAGCAGGGTGCCGGCCTTAAGCCAGGGGGTTGAGAAGGTAGAACTGATGAGATGAGGGACATCACATGGAGTCACCCATTGCCAATGGAATAACTGAAGGATGTCAACCCATATAGATGAGGCTACCTTGCAATGGATGAAGAGGTCCGCATTGGTCTCCTCGTCCTATGTGCACATAATGCATCTATTTGGGATTTGGAGACCCTTTCTCTGCAATTGATCCACGGTTAGGGACCTCTTGGATCCAGCTATCCCATTGAAGAATTGAATCCTGGGAGGAACCAAAGGGATCCAAATTTTGTTTACAATAGAATTAGGGCAAGCAGGGGGGCGTCGCTAGAGAAGAGTAGGAGGAGGCCATAGAGAAGGCACCCGAGTGGTTGGGGGTCCAGATGAGGCTATCTTGGCCTCGAAGGGACAGGAAGACAGAGTTTAGAGTGATGGAAAGGGCTGTGAATTCCTAAAATTCTGGATCCAAGAGTGGTCTTCTGAGGGTAGGACTCCACACCCTTTAAAAGAAGGCAACTATTCAGAACATCAGAGGCATAGTAATTTTCTGTGTTTTCTCGGTCTTGGACTTGTCTGTGATGACCTAGCTTTGTATTGCAAAGAGTGTGGTTCTTCTTGCTGTCAATCATGTGATATGTTTTCCTGAACATTTCTTTAGTTTTATCTTTGCAGAATATGTTTCGTTACTGATGTTGCCCTAACCAAACTTATACAATTACACATATATGTGCCTAATCAAATATTCATGTATTTAATATGTGCATCAGCATGCTGCTATGTATTTTTTTGATAAAGTCAACTTGTATTATATATGCATGCTGCTATCTGTTTTTATTTATTCTTTTAATGTCATTTCTTGTTCTGCTTTCCAGGCACTTTTCCTTGTTTTGATGCAAATACTTTCTGCAAGTTCAAGAATTTTGATCTTCACCTGGGGATATTTTTATTGATAATTCGTTACTCCTTTCAGTACCAGTAATTGATGATTATGGCCATTGCCATAAAATGATCCTATGTTCCAAATATGCAGTCAAGATTTTCTGCTCCAGGCCATGAATTAGATTATGTAGGGCAGTATTGGAATTGAAAACAAACTTTAGAACACTTGAGTCCGAGTCCACATCAGTGGCCTATATGTTTATATTATTTTCCTTTTCTTTCCCTTTTCTGAGATATTTTGGTTTATGGGGCTTCTATGTTTATCCATGTTATTGCTATTCCCACTAAAAACATGGATGTGAATGTAAAAAACATTGCCGTTACCACCCTCGTTTGGGTGGGAATAGCAGCAACATGTGTGAGAAGAACAGCCCCCTTTATTCCATTCTTCTGTGCGTTTCGTTTTTGTGTCCTTCCTCCTTGTCTGCATCTTCCATCTTGATCTTGTTCCAGCTTACATTCTCTTGTGTTTTGGCCCCACGCAACATCTATACCAATTATCAGAAACCTTGGGAATGTTTTATTGCTTTTGTGCGCTAGACCTGTCAAGTATTGTTCTGTCATGTTTCTCTTACAATAGCTATGGTGATGTACTGCTCTAAGTCCCTGCTTATGTGCAAAATTCCCACTGGCAAGGTCAGCTTCTCCATGGAACCGTTGACGACCTGAGTCATGCTATCTAGAACTAGGTTGGTCTTTCTTTCTGTTAGATTCTGCAAAAGCCAGTAGACTTTCTCAAAGGATATCTGTTCAACCTTGTCTTTGGAATCCTCCTGGGTGTTGGTTGCTGATCATTGATAACTCAAACAGTGCCCTTAACCAAACACCACAAGGGATTAAAGCCATATCACTTGATCCATCTATGTTGATTTTCACAAATTGCAGAAAGCTAAGTCAAGGGATTAATAATGGGTAGGCAGTGCTCTAGCCCTCTTAACTATTGATTTCCAGATTCAATAGAAACATTATTTGCTGGCTCCCTCAACCAGCTCAGGATGCATTTCTCTTCTGAGATCCATATCTTATCTGAATACGTTCTCTTGACAAATCCGTAATAGCCAGACCTGCCAGAATATATTAGCTGGAGTCAAATGTTCAGGGGAACCTTGGCTGTTTCAATATTTACGATATCTGCTTGTTTTGTCAAATATTTCATTTAGTGAATGCACAAAAGGAGTATGAGCGATTTGAGAGGTTTCAGTTTGAAAGAGACATAACATTGAGATACCAACACAATAGCTCTACCTTTCATTGAACCCTATGTTACGATTGATCACCATCTAGAATGTAATGCAGATTTATATTACACTGGACAATGATCTGTGTTGGTGTCTCATGCTGATTTAACTGCCACTAGCTTCACGTATTCAAACCTAGTGATCGAGTTCATATATAAATTATGTCATTGATGCTTTGAATAATTGAATTATAATTCAGGGTTCAGCCTTTCTCAGGGAATTTTGAATCTGAGTCAGAAATTTTAAATGTCCTTATCCATCAATGGGATAGTCTGGCTTAATGGGCATTGATCATTGGAGGCATCCCCCTTGAACCAACTGGTTAGCTGAATGTATAAGGCTATTTGGGTTTAGGTTATGTAAATTATCATGAGAATATGCCTGCCGACATTTTGGATTTAAAAGAGATAACTCTTAATCTATATTGATTTTTCTGATACTGTTTTTCTTTTAGTTAAGATTTTTCTGATACTTCTTAATTCTCATGAAGGAATTCAGCCGGAAAAAAGATGGTCCTGATAACTTGTATCATTAATATCTTTGACATGCCTATGTAATTTCGTTATTAAGTCTGCATATTTGATCCCAACCGATCTGTCTGTGGATGTTGATCACACCAATTTTCAATATCATCCTGAGCGACCAATTAGTTAAGGAATTTTTCAATATCATCCTGAATGGATTTGGGACCAATAAAAAATAAATTAGGGGAAGTATTGAATGACAAAATGGAATGCGCTTTGAGGCCGTATGGAGAAAATGGATCCAACGGTGCATTTCCAAGCCCCAGTTTGCTATACTCATTAACGGCACTCCCAAGGGATACTTTCAAGCTTCACCAGGGCTCCACCAAGGGGACCTCCTATCACCTTTCCTCTTCGTGATAGCGGCTGAGGTATTCAGTGCGTCCATCTCTCAGATGTACTGTGCTGGTCTTCTCTCGGGCTTTCACATTGCTAGGTCGGGCCCCTCCATCTCCCATCTTTGATATGCCGACAACACTTCTCTTTTGCAATGCCACCCAACAAGAAGTTCACTGCCTACTTTTTCTCCAATGTTTTCAGATGGCAACGGGTTTT